GAGGGGCAGCTGCTGTCCCGTGGCGTTCACAGGCTGCCTCTTGCAGCATCAGACTTAAAATTTTCTGTATATGTTTGGTGCAAACTACCTGTGGCTCCACAGCCCTGGAGGGTCGCTCGTGTGACTCTTACCTGGCAAATCTGGGGCACTGGTTGACTGCTTAGCGTTCTCTTTCTGGTCTTGGAAGAGAGAGTCTGATGAGAAGAGACTAGCTTGGGAGCTTCTCTGTTGAATGTGGGTTTCTGCAGCCTGGTGGAAAGCGGAATCATTTTGTTTTTGTCACCGCAGAACTTTCATCTTATTGACTTCAACGTGCTGACAGTGACAACGATCGTCCTGGCACGCCGGCTGATCGGTGCTATTGTGAAGGAGGTAAAATCCCCAAGCAGATCTCAGGGCCGGTCTTTCCTCTCGGGCGAAATGTGTCCTGTTTGCGGTTCCAGACTCTTCTGTCCTTTTCTAAAGAACTTTGTGCTGTGTTCAAATCAGAAACCCGGGCACGGTTTCTAATGGGAAGAACAGAGAAGAGAAACGAGTGCCTCAGAGCGTTGTTGGAGACTCTCTCTGTCCTCCTGTGATTGTTTCTGAATTACTCTCTCAGCCAGGCTGTGGTAATTCTGCTTTCTTCCTGGTGAAGAACCATATTTGCTTCTTTCCCTGTTCTCTTAATTACTCCATCTTTCTGCAAGGAGGAGCCAGTGTAGGTTGGTTTCTGCTCACTAACTACCAGACCTTAATGAGAACCTCTGAGAGTTCTCCTCATCCCAACTTGGGGAATGAGCCCCTGGGTTTTGGAGAGCCCAGATTCCAGCCTACGCAAGGCCTCCCCTCCCCAGTGGCAGTCGAGCAGAGCCTTTCCCTCGCTCTTCCTCCGTGCATATGAAGTTGATTTTGCAGATTGAGCGCTGCTCACTTACCGGTTGCTTCCCGTGGCAGAAGTGAATTGGTCTGCCCTCTGCCCAGCTCTTTCTTCTCTCCCCGCAGGCTTCGCAGAGTGGCAAAGTCTCCCTCCCGCGCTCTGTTTTCCTGGTGATCACTCGGTTTGCTGTTCTCACTGGCACAGGCTGGAGTTTGTGTCGGTCGATAATTCACCTTTTCAGAACCTACTCTTTCCTTAACCTCCTGTTCCTGTGTTACCCGTAAGTATCTCTTCTGCCACTTGTGGGTGATTTCTGATGTTGCTTCAGTGCAGTGCGTGTTGCTCAGTTGAAATGAAGCCTGCAAGTAAATAAGCACTCGATTACCTGGTAACAGAACTTAAACTCCCCTTCTCCCTCTTGCTGCATCACGTTTCTTCGTGGTGGCAGGACGTATCTTCAACATTTACCCTTATTTCAGCTTTAATGTGAGTATTAATGATGAGCCTGCTGGTGTCCTCTGAGAAGGGCCCCGTGCTTTTCTCGTGGTGCTCCCAGAGCCCGTCTCCTCGGCTTGCCTTAGTTCTTCTTAGGCGCCTGTGCCGTGTGGAGTGAAGCAAAGAGCTTCCCTGCCTCATGGGAGCTACCAAAAGGAAGCCAGTTCTGTTGCCAGTCAAGGAGGGGAAATAGCTCCCTTGTGTTTGAGGTCATAGAATCGTTACGGTTGGAAAAGGCCTCTAAGATCATCCAGTCCAACCGTCAACCCAACACCACCACGACCACTGAGCTGTATCCTGGGATCAGATCGGTGAAGCTCCGTTCTGAGGCTGCTGTAGATACCGGCTGCCGTTTAGGAGGGAGATGTGATCGCAGCGATCACCTGCTGCCAGCGAAGGCGTCGCGCGGGGAGCGCCTGAGGAAGTAACCGCCTTTCTGCACTTTGCTGCTCCAGGTTTGGCATGTACATTCCCTTCCTCCAGCTGAACTGTGACTTTCGGAAGACGGGCCTCTTCTCCCAGGTGGCCAACATCGGTCCCAGGGAGACCGGTGAGGTGAACTCCCGGGGCCGAGACTACCTGACCGTCCTGAAGGAGACCTGGAAGCAGCACACTCGGCAGATGTACGGCATGGAGGCCATGCCCACTCACGCCTGCTGCCTCTCCCCAGATCTCATCCGCAACGAGGTGGAATACCTGAAAATGGACTTTAACTGGCGGATGAAAGAGGTGCTGGTGAGCTCCATGCTCAGTGCCTACTACGTGGCCTTTGTGCCCGTCTGGTTTGTGAAGGTGAGGAAGGGCCGCCGCTGCTTTCGGCCCCACGCTGCTCCTCCAGGCATGGAGCTGGCTGGGGAGGGTCGTGGAGGGGTGGCCTAATATGTTGTACAGCGAGACGTAGAATCATAGAATCGTTCAGGCTGGGAAAGACCCTTGGGATCATCCAGTCCAACCACAGTAAATCCGTCAAACCTCGGGGATGGGCCCAAGTCACCTTCCCCTGAGGGGCTGGTGCTCCCACCCCTTGTCAGCTGAGCCGGGGGAGCTTCGGGAGCTATCGCCCTGTTTCTGGTGATGGGTGGTGATAGCATCAATGTTTCGCTGTGGTGTGTTCAGGAGTTACACAGCAGCCGTCCTATGTGGGCGCTTCTTTTTCAAGTGGGATTAATAGCTGCGTGAAAAGCCCTCGTTTTACCTGCCTGAGTGCTTTGTGTTTTGATGGCTCCGTTAGGTGAGGCTGTCCAAACACGTTGTCACACATTCTTCTTGTCCCCCCCCAGAACACTCAGTACTACGACAAACGCTGGTCCTGTGAGCTCTTCCTCCTGGTTTCCATCAGCACGTCGGTGATCCTCATGCAGTACCTCTTACCCGCGCGCTACTGTGACCTGCTCCACAAAGCTGCCGCACACCTGGGCTGCTGGCAGAAGGTCGATCCAGCCCTCTGCTCCAACGTGCTGCAGCACCAGTAAGGAACCCTCGGCTGGGGCTGGGGCTGGAGTTTGCGCTGGCGTGCCTGTGGCACAGGCAGGGGCTGGTGGGGCGCTCGGCTTTCTGGGCATCTCTCCTCCCCGTCGTGTTGCTTAAAGAAAGAAAAAAATGAAGGGTTGTTGGCTGGCACATCCGACAGCTTACAGGCACGGTCTGTGGATCTGAGTTTTGGCAAGGTGCCCGCTGCTTCTGGCCACAGGTAGCTGCAGTTTGCCTGTCAGCGCCGTGGTGACGTGCCTCGTTGGGCCAAACTCTGCCCGTGTGAACGGCGGCACCTGTGCTACTGCAGCTCGTGCGTTGTTCTCGCTGGTGGTGGGAAGGAAGCAGAACCCCCTGCCCTGCAGCTCCAGAGGCAGAAATAAGAGCTCTTTGCGTGTTTTCTGCAGGTGGACAGAGGAGTGCATGTGGCCCCAGGGAGTGCTGGTGAAGCACAGCAAGAACGTGTACAAAGCCGTGGGTCATTACAACGTGGCCGTGCCCTCGGACGTCTCGCACTTCCGCTTTCATGTAAGGTCACCTCTGATTTACAGGGACCCTTCGTGGGGTCACCATCCTCTTGTCCTCAGCCCCTCGGGACAGGAGCAGGAGAGCTGCTCGTGGGGGTGTGCCGGGTAGGGGAGCGAGCGGGGTCGGGGACGGTTTCACTTAGTCCCATGTCTGCAAACGGAGGTTCTGTCCTGAGCCGCTCTCGAGCAAATGTGTCTCCAGAGGCAATCCCAGGGCGCGTTGTTCAGCCGGTTGATAGGGCTGGGACAAGGGCTGGGCTCAATGATCTTCAAGGTCTCTTCCAGCTGAAACTGTTCTATGATTCTGTGATTCTACCTGCCTCACACGTCCTGTTGCAAATACGCCCTGAAGGGTCTCACCTCGCTCAGTGCCTTATTGTGGTCTCTCCTACAGTTCTTTTTCAGCAAACCGCTGAGAATCCTCAACATCCTGATCCTGCTGGAGGGAGCTGTCATCTTCTACCAGCTTTACTCGCTGATTTCTTCAGAGAAGTGGCACCAGACCATCTCGCTGGCTCTGATCCTCTTCAGCAATTACTACGCCTTCTTCAAGCTGCTGCGTGACCGTCTGGTGCTGGGCAAAGCCTACTCGTACTCTGCCAGCAGAGACTCAGAGCAGAAGTTAAATTAAAACAATTGCACTGATGCTCAGCTTATTACAAAACAAACAAAACAAGAAACCCTCAGAGCTTTGTATTTTTGTTACCACTGCTTTTTTTCTTTGATAACTGATGTAATTAAAAGGAAAAAACATATTTTTTTACTCCCAACAGTTGTTTGCGTGTCTGTTGTCTGGTAAAACCCCCCGAGAAGGCCCCCTTCTGTTTGTATTTGAGAGGAGTGATTTATTAACGGCGGTGCTTAGTTTCGAGAGGTGCAAACGCTGCTGCTTCTGCTGGAGTCGGAGCTCCAGCTGGCACCGAGCGGGAAGAGGAGAGCTGCGGGTTTATCAGAGCTCACAACTCACCCTGAGCCCCTTCGGGAGGGGACGAGCCCTTGTCCTGCCCTTCCCGAGGGACCTGCACCCCCGGGCATTGCGCGGCCGGAGGGGAGGGCTGCAGCGTTTCACTAAAATGGATTTTTTTTTAAATTTCTGTGCCAGAACTGCTGCACGGCAGCGGCGG